TGTAACACCCAGTGCTCATTACATCTACTTATTTTTTTAGGGAGACAGAGAACTTAAGTGGGAGGGGCTGAGGGAGAGAGGGAGAGCATCCGAAACAGACTCCGCACTGAGCGCGGAGCCCCAAAAGGGGCTTGAACTCGTGACCCTGAGATCATGACCTGAGCCAAAAGCAAGTCAGAGGCGTAACCAACTGCACCCCCAGGCGCCCCTTGAACACGTTCTGATGAGCCGGTTACAAAGCCCAAAGGAGACACATCTTGTGTGACGGGTAGGTTCGTGCCTGCATTTCCCAGGAACACACAGGTACAGAAGAGAATACTTATAATCACTTCTTCTACCAGATACGAGTTCTGAGGCTGCTGCTCAATACTCTTACCCTGTGTTGTTTGAAAGGAACACCTTGGTTTGTTTGGACATTCATTTGTAGTTAAAGAGACGACATTTATATTTCATTTATTTGGAGCTAGGGATTTCTGTAGGTGGCATACGACTGCATGGATGGGTCTGTTCATTATTTATGTAAGTGAATCATTTCTCCTGCTGCCCATTGCTAACTGAACGTAATTTGGAGAATGAAGCAACCTTTGGGCAGGTTAAAATAGAACCAGAAAACAGTTCTCTTGTGGTTCACACGGGCTTCTTGCTCGTCTCTTAGTGGGTCTCTTTATTTAGGATGACTGTGAACCAACATCGGATAATGTTTACTATGTACTCCACCCTCTCCCTGCTCCCATCCCAGCCTACATAGACTGAATGGCTATTGGAGAATTTGACACCCGGGAGAACTACTACTTTCCGACTATGATGTGTACAGGGGATTTTTAAAAATGGAGAAAAGTCTAGTTTATGCAAAAATTGCTTCACCATCTGCTTGCCCTTGTGCCTGAAATTACTGCAATGGGTATTACATAAATGGTAAGACTTTGAATGTGTATTTATTTCTAAGCAAAATATCCATCACTGACCCAACAGTTTACCCATTTAGCCAGCAGAAACCAGAACGATTCCATACTTTTATACCTAGTGTCTTAACTCAGTATAAAGAAGGAGTTTAGAACAGGTGCTTTGCTTTTAAAAGGTCGTGATTTAATCTACAGACCTAACCTTGTATACACTTGTGCTTTCTCATATGATGAAATCCCTTTCTATCAGTTCCTCCTGACTTTGGCTTTGATTACTCAACTCCATGTGACTTTGGATCTTGCCTTGACTCATTTTTGTCTAAATATCAGTAATTTCCTCTGCCCCAAAAGTCAATTCTCCAAGAACATTTTAACTTGTTTTCTGGCCTTGATTTTGATGATTTGGCTCTCTTTTCTATAATATCAGAGATTAAAAAAACCAAAAAAAACAAAAAACTGTAGCTAGGACAGCTTCCTCCTCTGACACCTGGAGTTTTGCAAGTTTGCGGATGCCATGAGAAATGGAGAGAGAGATTTTAATTCAGAAGACGTCAGGGGGAAATGAATGGCTTGGAGAACACTAGTAGTATGTCAACAGAGGAAGATCGTTCATCCTTGGGAGAAGGTAGGAATCCAGAATACATTTTGTCAGTTTGGTTATTGCCAGGTAGAGACCTAGCCCTAAGTGGGTACTGACCCTGTGGAGTCCAGACTCCCCCATGTGCTAAGCCCAGGCTTGGAGGATTTCTACAGGGTTTGCCAGATGTTTCCAAGTAGGTGAGACCTACCAGTAAATCTCGCAACTCTGCCCCAACTGCTTGTAAGGGAGTCACCCACAGTGTTTGTCTCTTTTTAATTTGCTTGGAGACCCTAACCTCCCTAAAGCTGTCCCCCTCACTGGTGGTCTCTGGGCTTTGGGAGCCTCTGAGCTTCTCCACAGTCCGCATAGTTTTGAAGCAAGAATAAGAGCCTTCCTTGCTCCTTCTTCCTCTCAGCCCAAGTATCTTCCCTTTTGTGAGAATCTTGACCTGTTGTTGGGTATAGATCAGGACTTCCTCCTCTTTGTCAAGGTTCGTATGTGTCTCTAGCCACATTGTAGTTATTCCTTGCTTACCTGTGTGCCCCAGGTCTACCACACCATCGGAAATGAGTGCTGTATTCATTTCCAAAGCCTTCCTGACCCAGGGCCTGGTGAATAATAGGTCCTTAAGAATACTTATCGAGTGAATTGACTCTAACAATCTTTTGGACTTGCGTAACATGTTTTCCAAAGCTTCTAAGGTAAACATTTAACTTATTTAATAATATTGCTATTCTTTAGAGGTGGCGTATGTATAAAAATGTGGAAGTCACTGAAAGTGGTCTCAAAAAACATTTTATTTCCTGTTTCCTGTTTGTGATTTGGTTTCGCAGTATCGTTTCTTTGTTGTTCCTTTTCATTGCAGAAAAAGCTAGGAAAACGAGGCTCCTAGAATCACATCTTTATCTTTTGGAATTATTCAATGGAATATTCTGGAAAAAAGCCTTATGGCTACATTATACTTTTTCAGCTATAATCATACTTACTCAATCTGTGGTAGTTATATAAAAAAAAAAAAAAATGATTGGCACAGATAAGAGCATTTCCTATCTACTTCCACAACTGAATTTCCTGATTTTTATCTGACAAGATGTGTTATGTTGACAAGGTTTAGAATAAAACCTGTTATCCATTGCTCACTTTTCCCAGTATATTCCTCTTGTGGTACATAAGTCTTCTTGCTCTGGGTTTCTTCACACTTGAACTTGGAGAGTGCAATGGATGTCTGAAGTCTAGTTATACTACCAGAGATTGACTAAACAAAATAAGGATCCTGAGCAGCTGCCTGAACTTGCACTCTTTCCAAGGGCAAATTCTTCTAAGTTATTGTATTGATTTAATTTGCATTCAAATTGCTCAGAATTTTGGCGGTGTGTTTTCACTTGAATGATTTGCTATCAAGTGGAGAATGAATACATGACATTCAGCTCAAGTGTGGAGCTGAATTTTAAAATATTTACTGATTTTAATAGAACCATATTAATACCATAACAAAGGATAAACTATTGCAGCAAACGGTGGGTTAGCATTATTTCTTAAAGAAATCCTAGAAGGAGGCATTGATTGTGAATTATCTTAATGAATTTGGTTTTACTTAGCATAAACATGCATGTTACAGTTTTGTTAATTTTATGTTGTTGAGTTTAAATTATTAATTTTTCATTTTACTGAAATTATAATTTAAATCCGTAGTTCCTTTTGATGCCTGTTAACCACAGGATGCAATAACTATCATTTAAATGTTCATTTTATAATCTGTGATGTATATTTAATGTGTGATATGTTTATTATTCTAACCATCTGACTGCTTAAAATACAAATAGAAAAAAAACCTTTCATTGCGTGTTTTGGCATTCTTGTCAGTAGTTAAACCTGCCTTGGGACCTACTGAAAATTTTAATAGTCAGTAATATTTGCACTGTCATCTGTCACCACATGGTGTCAAATCCTGTCCATGTAGCGATTGCTCTTGGCTTTTCTGGGTTAAGAGAATACTAGTGTTTCCTAGAGCAAATACACTGAGACTGCATGTAGATCCCGTTGGACTATATTCAGGCTAAGGTGAACTTTGTCTATAGTGATATATGTGTCTATAAGTGAAATGGAAAATGGGTTTGTCTTTTCAGGAACTTACTCCTTTTTGCTAGTGTTGAGGCAATATACTGGAGAAGAAAAATGTCTCTATTTTATGGGGTGGCAGATGGCAAGTGCTATTTAACAGGTGCTCAAATATTTTATAAATAAATAAAAGGAGGAAACAGGAATAAATGAAGTCAGCAGAGACACACAGTGGAAATACACCGGGCTCCTGACCCCACGGTAGAGAGACGGAAATTAAACTCTTCTTGTTTCTTCTTCAAGGTAAAAGACAAGAAATGAGCACATTAAGTTGTTAGCAGTTAAACGGAATAAATAAAATCACAACAATAAGTATTGTGTATTTGGAACCTACAGTGTACCTAGAATTACATATTTAATCCTCAAAGACCTCTTGGTAGAAGCTACTGATGTTGCCATTTTGATGAATTTGGGAAGGCTTTGGTGATTTTTCTCTATGCTGCATTTTAATTAAGCCCGGAATCACAAACAAGTCTGTCATACAGCCCCACTCATAGAACATTGCTTCCTCCTTCATACAACACTTGAGCCAATATTTATGATTTAATTGGTTAGTTATAACTAACATACTCCTAAGAGAATGCTGCTTTTGAGTTGCTCCATTTCCTGATTCCTTTGACTGACTACTTCAGAATTAGAGGTAAATATGAACCATATATCTGCTCTGACATTGCTGAGGGAAAATGGACTAAGCAGTTACTGAGGGAAACCATGGCACATCAGAGAAGTGTCAAGAAATGACGATGCAGAGTGCATGGGGGGACATTGTGGGCGTCAGGGCTTACAGAAACATAAGCATTGAATTATAACTTGGTAACTTGGCAGAGCATTTTGCATCCTAGATGTTTGTACATTGAACTCAGTCTTTCTAGAATTAAAAACAAAACAAAACAAACAAAAACAAACCAAAAAGCCTTAAGGAATGCAAGGTTAATTTTGTTATTTTATGAATTCGTTAAAATTCTCAGACCTATAACATAAATTCTATTCCTGAAATAGTTCTCAAATCATTAAGCAACTTGGCTTAGTTGAAAAAATATCTTCCTTTTCTAATGAGTATCTATACAATAAGAAGATAATTACAAACATTGGATAAAGTCCATTAAACTTAAAGAAGCCTTGTGGAGAGCTGGGAGCCACTGAAAGAGACTCTAGAAAGGCATGAGAGTGACCACAGGATGTGGGGGCATATGGTGGGCTATGGCGTTACTGAAAGTCCTGGGTGGGTTATGGATTTTTCTGGGAAGTAGCAAGCTATGTTTAGGTGTGATTACAGATTATTGAACTTTGTCCATGTGACTAGTTTAATTTTTACAAAATATTGTTCTCAAAATATCACATAGAAGATGTGACTTGTGTATCCAGAGATTTTATTTGCTTTTTGTTTGCAGGAGTAATATATGTCAAGAACGAAGCCACTCAGATGATGGAAGGGTGGAGCAGGGATTGAAGATTCAGGATGAATTAAAGAGGTTAGTCAAGAACCTTCTCTGTTGGGAAAAGTGAGTTTTTACTGTAAATCGTCTCCATCTCCTTAATACAAGACACCTTTCATTACTTCCTGGCTAGACTAATTGTTTTCCAAGCTGAAGTGATTTTCTGAAGAACACCTCTGATCAAGAAATCCTTTGTTCAAGAAGCTTCAATGGTTTCCATTGTATATTGAACAAAGGTACGGAGGAGGAAATAGATTTATTGAATTTCTAGACACTTAATGTAATCTCATTTAACCTTAAGCAAAACTCTATGAAGTAGGTAAGATTGTATAGAGGAGAAAAGAAAAAAAAAAGGAAAGCAAGCTGCCAGGAACCTCTGGGAAGGAGATACTCATGTATCTTGCTCATGTCTCCAGGATCCACTAATGTCTGGGAGACTTTCCAGACATTATCTGTTGAATGAATGAATTTTACAGGACTGCTTTTATACTCTTTACATTGGTCTATACTCTGTTTTGTGAATTTCATATCCCCATGTAACAGTCATTTACTTACTAGACCTACTATGTACGTGTCATACATTATATAAGCAAGATTGGGAAAATATTTGGCTGTTTTTTCCTAATGGACTTCTGAGGTCTAGCTCCACTAATACCTTACTGAAATTATACAGATGGAATTTTCTTCACCAATCTTTGATTTAGGTCAAAGAGTTTCAAGCCGTGTTTCCTGCACCATGTATGATTTCCTGTTTTGACTTAAAGGCATGTGTGAGGCAATCGGAATTCAGAATCCCTCCAGGTTTTATAGTTTTCCCTGTTCTTTAACAGTTGTTTTGCCTATAAATAATCCCATGATGATTATTGTAGCAATTCACACTTATTGAATCTTGACAAAATATTCAACTTAATTCATAAAGCAATAGCTACCTTTCTTTTTATACTCATTATAAGAATACACAAACACAAATTAGTATAAAAGGTTGTGCATATGGGGAAAAGAAAACACAGCTGACATGGGGTGAGCATACAAACGCACGCCTCACCTCTCCTTCTGCCTGTGGTGACTTTGTTGAGCTAGGACTAGGGCAGGCTCTGCGGTGACCCGGTCTGGATTTACCCCACACAGGGAACACCTCTACTTTCCAGACACCTTCATCACTGATGGAGTAGTAGTAAGGAATATTGCAATGGCCTTTGTACTGGTAGTAAGTAGTAAGGAAAGTGGTAGTAAGGATACTCTTTTAGTATAAAGAGTGAATTTAAAAATTGTGCTTTTTAAAATCGTGTAAGTAAAATGAATTATTGACGAAAAGTTGAAATTTCTCTGCAGAATTTACACCGCATCTCTAGTACCCAAATCTAATACAACCAGTTGTTTTCCTACCAGAGTTTGGGATTTTCCAGCAAGCAGATATGGGCACTGAGGAATGCAAATAGTGTTCTGGGTCAAGCAACGCATCTTGAAGCACCCATTCACTTATGAACAGGAAAGAATGTGAAATGAGTAACAAACAGTAATGTCTAGACACATGGGAACAGATTTTAGGGTTCTAATAAAACCCGGTTTGGGGCGCCTGGGTGGCTCAGTCGTTAAGCGTCTGCCTTCAGCTCAGGTCATGATCCCAGGGTCCTGGGATCAACCCCCGCACCGGGCTCTCTGATCAGCGGGAAGCCTGCTTCTCCCTCTCCCACTCCCCCTGCTTGGGTTCCCTCTCTCGCTGTGTCTCTCTCTGTCAAATAAATAAAAATCTTAAAACACACACACGCACACACAAAAACTGTGGTCCTGGGGCACCTGGGTGGCTCGGTCGTTAAGCGTCTGCCTTCGGCTCAGGTCATGATCCCAGGGTCCTGGGATCGAGCCCCGCATCGGGCTCTCTGCTCAGCGGGGAGTCTGCTTCTCCCTCTCCCGCTCCCCCTGCTTGTGTTCCTGCTCTCGGTGTTGTCTCTGTCAAATAAATAAATAAAATCTTTAAAAAAAAAACCCTCGGTTTTAGATATACTTAATCAAGTATGACAATGATGACAGTAATTATTATAATAATTGAGAGGCAGAATGGTGTATGGGTAAGAATAATAACTGAGAAATTAGAAGACTGAAATTTCTGTTGCAGACTTGTGGCTCTGTGACGGGCATGTAGCCCAGACCTCTGATAAGCCTCTGTGCGTGTATTTGCATACTGAGAGGGAACGGCTAGGCTCCTCTTAGTTGTACCACTGTGATTCTATGGGATCCATGGCAGACTCTATGCCCACTCTTGCAAGAAGCATACCTAACAACCTTTAGTTGTAAAAGCTTTTTTCTTTTTACAAAGACCACATTCCCTTCTTTCTTGGTTTTATATATTACCTCACCCTTATGCATTAATTAAAAAGAGATAGGAAATATGCTAGACACTTTCCTTCCCTTCATGAACATAATATATGCTCTACAGTAAGGAAGTTATGTGAAGACACACACACAAAAGCCAGATAAGGTAAGTATGAGGAGTGTTTGATAGATAGTCCTGATTCTAGAGCACTCAGAATTTAAACACAAACTGCCTGGCTTTATGCGAGGGGGTCAGAGAATGTGTGTATGAAAGTTTTAAGATCTGCTCAGAGGCTTGGAAGACAGGAAAGGATTTAAGATCCTGGGGGTAGGGGTGGAGAGTGGGGGGTACACTCGAAGTGGGGAAATAGCACACTTTAGAGATCTGTTTAAGGAAACAATCCTTAAATATTTTTCTCTGGCCATATTTCCTCCCTTCATTCCTCTACCTCTCAGCCCCTTTTGTCTTTTTAAATCTCACTTTTATCTTCAAAGCAAATTTATATATAATATTCTATTTAAAGCCTCACATAAGCCCTAGACCATGGCTTCCTGGAGTGTGTTTCCTCAAAAACTATTCCAACCCGTGACAATAGGCATACCATAGAAAAAACTAATCATTCTATTGTAAGGATTAGCTGTATACATAGTGAAATCACCAAAAAATTAGGGCAGTGGAACGGTTGCAGAAAATGACACTGAATCTTGAGCTAAAGTTTTTAAGAAATGAAGGACAGTTGTCCCTAGGGTTAGTAGATGACTCAGATAAGGAGCTTTAATTTCATGATAAAGGATTCAAAGTTGGAGTTTTTAGGAAGGATGGGAGGGGACACTTGCCATACTACAGGCCCAAGGGTAGAGAAGAAGAGTGGAGGCATTCTCTGGTCATGCCAGCTTAGAACAAGGGACACCTACCCCAATCCAGGTCCAGAGGTGAGAAGGGTATGGGAGAACAAACAGTCCATTTTTGAGAGCCCTCCAGAAAGCAGGATCATCAGTAACACACTAAGTTTAATTACTACGTTAAGGAGATTGAAATGTTAGAGAGAGGACTGGGTATGCAGGGGATCCTAGTGATGACTGACTAGAGGGGCCGAAGAAGGGGACTCTGGATCTCGACAAGTAGAAGCTTACGGGGTGAGTAGGAAGATGTGCCGAGTTATATGGATTTGGCCATATGAGTATTGATGGTTTGGATTTGCACACTTTTCTTAGTAATGGGAATGGACGCCCAGTTAGAGGGGAATGGGAAAGATTGAGAGGTGAGGAAAAGGAGACAGTGACCATGGCCCCCACCTGAAAAACAGAGAGAAGGGGCATTAGCTCAGAGGAAATGTGAGGTGTTACTGCTTTTTTTCAACTGGGAGTATGTTTATAGATGATACAAATTACCTTGAAGTAAAAGATAAATACCTTACATAGGAGAAGGAAAATGAAGTGACAAGAGAGAGGTTTTTGAGTGGATGAGAGAAGTTAGACTCCAAAGCTAAAGTGTATGGATTGGGCTTTGCCTGAAGGTGGCATACTCTATTTGAGTACTTTATACAGTTTTTATTTAATTCCAAGAAAAACTGAGTAATATTGGTATAATTATGATCCTCATTTCACAGATGAGGAAATTGAGTCATGAAAAGATTAAGTAAAAATGCACCCCGTGTCACATAACCAGTAAATAGTAGAGTGAGGATTCAAATCTGGGTTGGTTTGAATCCAGATCATGACTCTTCAATATGGCAACTATCGTTTGGTTAAAGGTCACAAGGAGAATGCCTATAAGAGTCAAAGCTGGGGCGCCTGGGGGGCTCAGTCGGTTAGGCGGCTGCCTTCGGCTCAGGTCACGGTCCCGGGGTCCTGGGATCGAGTCCTGCATCGGGCTCCCTGCTCGGCGGAGAGTCTGCTTCTCCCTCTCCCACTCCCCCTGCTTGTGTCCCCTCTCTCGCTGTGTCTCTCTCTGTAAATAAATAAATAAAATCTTTAAAAAAAGGGGGGGGCGCCTGGGGGGCTCAGTCAGTTAGGCGGCTGCCTTCGGCTCAGGTCATGATCCCAGGGTCCCGGGATCGAGCCCCGCATCGGGCTCCCTGCTCAGCGGAGAGCCTGCTTCTCCCTCTCCCTGTGCCTGCCTCTCTGCCTACTTGTGCTCTCTCTCTCTCTCTGTCAAATAAAAAAAAAAAAAAAAAGTCAAAGCTATGCTGACAAATTTGTAAATGGCTATGATAATGACTAATATTATTAACATTTTTGTAAAAATCTCGTTTTGCCTCTAATCTATTCAGTTGTTTTATTCAACATGTTATTATACTACTAATAGAACAACTAATCAACATATAAGTATACCCATCCTGATAGAATATGGCATTCTGTGAAAGCGCAGGTTGCTTCTAAAATCAGTGTAATTGATTCTCTAGAGAAGAAGCTGAACTAAGGGAAAACGAAAATTCCTAAACTGGATTAGAGACCATGCTGTGGGTTCCTCAAGAGTCCTATGGCCTTTTTCTTCTGGGAGGAGGTAGAGGGTGTACATAGAGAGAGAATGCTGTTCTTTCAACCAGTTCAAACTTAAATATGCCTTGCCTTACTACTGTAGCTACAAATATTTTCATAATTCTACAGTTTAATTACTTACAAATTCAAATGTATCTTTAGTAGTTGAAATTTGAGACCACAGGAGATTAAAAGAATGTACAATATAGACTGTAAAATGATTTTCAAAAGAAGAGCAGCAA